CTGGTGATGTGAACCAGGCGGGCACTGTGCAGGAAGCTGTTGCTGGGTTCATCAGTAGAGTGGGGAGTCAGTGATGAGTCTCCGCAGCATGTCACAGCCACTCCCTGGAGACTTCTAGCAGCTTCCTGGCTCACCTCCTTTGGCAAGAGATGCTGTGATCTGCAGAGTGTGGACTCTGTCTCTGCGTGTCCGCTGGTGCCAGCTTCCAAACTGGCATTTGACAGGGGTGGTGCTCCTGTGCCCCACTCCGAACTACAAACAGAAGCGAAAGTCTTCTGAATTCCCCAAGGCAGAGAAAAATACGGAGATTTCACTGCAAGCAAACATGACGATATAGTTCTTTCTCTGTTTAAAAGTCTCATCAAGGGGATGGGAGCCTAGTCAGTTTCTACCAGTTAACACCATAGCATGGGAACAGCCTTTCTTCCGGCAGGATGAGCCTCACGTTTTCATTTCTCATTAACTTGTCTCATTTCCGCTAAGATTCTATTCCTGAGAATTGCCTCGGTCTCTCTCACCTCCCTGCCTGTGGCGGTTTCAGCAGGAAGTCAGGATACAAGGAGGAAAGCTTGGTGCAAGGTCTTTGGACCTTTGCCTAATCTCTCTGGGTTTCGGTCTGAGATGCGGCATCTATGAAGCGGTACGCTCTGGATGCGTTCAGGCCAGCACACATCACCCGCACACACCCACACTTTACAGTGGTTCAGCTGGTGGGGCACGCTGCGTTCCGACATCTGTCCCAGGTGAAGAGAACCTTTATGGGGGGTTATGCCGAGACTGGGGATGGTCTCTATAATGCACCCAGCACAGAGCCTGGCAATTGAAGGTGCTCAACAAATGAGTGACTAAAAAGGAGAAACAGAAAAACTGATTTCAAAGAGCAACGCCCACACTCAAGTGGAATTTTCCATTGCAGACTAGGCAGTGGCTAGGGGCATAGTGGGATGGGGCCAGCTAGCACCCCTTCAGTTGATAAAAGCGGGCACCCACAGAGGAAATGAACTGTAGCGACTGGGGTAAGGGAGAGGGAAGACTTCATCTTAGTTCCCAGGTTTCAGATGCCATGGAAAAGTCTAGAACGCTCTTTGGAAAAAAGAAGTGGCTGAGTAAGCAACATTCTCCTTAGCCCCCAATTTCTTCCTCTGCAAAAAGAGGATTGTAATGCATGCTCCTGGTTGGTATAGCTAAATTAGATAAAGTGACAAGTAGCTGAGAAACTAGAAAGCATCTAGGAAGATTCCTCCCTCTTGCCCAGAAGAGTCTCTGGCTGTATGTGGTGGAGCCAAGAGTTTTGGTGTAACCACAGGTAGAAGGGAGGGGCCATAAAGCATGTGTGGAGAACAAAGCCTGGGAGATTCAGCCAAGGCTGGAGAGGGCAGGGAGGAAGGGGAGGGTGCAGTGGGGCAGGGCTCTGGCAGGCAGCCCTGCTAAGAGGCTGGGGACGCTTGTTCAGGCTGCTCCAGACTGGTCAGGCTCGGGGGTACGTGAGACACTTCCAGAGTCCTGATGAATGATCATTTACTAACAAACTCTCTCACCTGTCAGCAGGAATGTTGGTGGCCTCTGCTCATTGGCCAAGAGGAGGGCTACTCTGGAATGCTGTCAATGAATCTCCCAGAAGTGCATGGACATGTGCATACACACACACGTGCACACACACACACACACACACATAGATATACATAAGGCAGCTGCACCCTATGCCATTGTGGCTTTAATTTGCATTTTCTAAATGGCTAATGATGTTGAACATGTTTCCACATGCTTATTTGCCACTGGTACACCCTCTTGTGTAAAATGTATCTTCCTATTCCCTATCCATTTTCTAATTAGATATTTTTAACATTGGCTGTTGCATTTTGAGAGTTCTTTTTATAGTTTAGATACTAGCCTTTCGTCAGAGATGTGCTTTGCAAATATCTTCTCCCAGTCTAGAGCCTGTCTTTTCATCGTCTTAACAGGACCTTTATCAGCACAGAAGTTTTCAGTTTTGACCAAGTTCAATTTATCAATTTTTCCTTTCATGAATTATGCTTTTGGTATCACATGTAAGAGCTCCTTTCCTAATCCTAGATTCTGAAGATTTTCTTGTATTTTATTCTAAAAGTTTTATAGTTCTATTTTACATTTAAGTCCATTATCCATTTTGAGTTAATTTACGACGTGTGAAACTTACACTGAGGCTTGCATTTGCTATGGGTGTCCAACTGCTCCAGTCCCATTTGTTGAACAGGAATCTTAAATATTTTTGAAAGCACTAATCAGTCATTTTAACATTAATATCTGCTAACTCACTTGTGGTCACTCGTAGGTTTGTTTCTTTTGTCTGTTTTTTCTCTTGATCCTATTTTTTGGGGGTATACCTGTTAATATGTGTTTGGATACTGGACATTGTAAATCAAACATCATAGTGACTATAGATGATGGTATTTTCCTTCATAAAGTGTTTATCCTATCCTCCATCAGTGAATGTGGAATAATAGACTTCTTTACTCTGTCAGGAGCTCAATGCCTTGAAACTTAGTTTCCTGCTTTGTAGGGACTGGTTTGCCTCTTGTGCACGTGCCCACTTTCAGAGTATAGCCTTCCCAACCAATATCCTGGAGTATTTCCCAAGGATCATCTTCCTATGTGGGTCAAAACCTCCAATTTTTATTTCCCCAGCATCCAAATCTTTAATCAATTGCATTTCAGATACTGTCTGCTTGGTTTCTTTGTCTTTAGCCCTGTGTTGTATGAGGGTGCTTTGGAGGGTGGGGAAGAAATAGATGCAGTATGTTTGTTTGACTTTTCTGCACCTCCCTACTTTCAGGTCTCTGAATCCTTCACTCTCTGTTTCGGCATACTCAGACTCCATGTATTGTCTCCTGGGTCCCGTGATGTTGCCGAAAGCTCTCCCAAACTTTGAGGTCATCCTCAGTCGAGCCCCTGCAGTCTCCCTGCTGCTCCAATAGCTCACCCATGCAGAGGGGCACCTGCAGCAGGACACAGGGCTCACTCAGGGCACCCCTTCTCTCCAGGACCTGAATGCTTAGGGCCTGCCTCTTCTTTTTTTTTGAGATGGAGTCTCACTCTGTCGCCCAGGCTGGAGTGCAGTGGCCGGATCTCAGCTCACTGCAAGCTCCGCCTCCCGCGTTCACGCCATTCTCCTGCCTCAGCCTCCCGAGTAGCTGGGACTACAGGCGCCCGCCCGCCACCACGCCGGGCTAGTTTTTTGTATTTTTTTTAGTAGAGACGGGGTTTCACCGTGTTAGCCAGGATGGTCTCGATCTCCTGACCTCGTGATCTGCCCGTCTCGGCCTCCCAAAGTGCTGGGATTACAGGCTTGAGCCACCGTGCCCAGCCCAAGGCCTGCCCCTTCTTACGGCTGAAAACAGCCTTTTTGTTTTGTTTTGTCCTTTGTTGTAAGTTAGTTCTAGTTGCCCTTGCCTGGAGTGTTAGTCTGCTGTAAGTTGCTCTGTCATAGTTGAAAGAAGTCCTCCAGACTCTGTGTTTTGACCAAGGTTTGCCTGACTCTAAATTCTTTCACCTTTGTATTCTAGCTAAACTTAATATACAGTTTTCATGAAAATATACCCATAAACAAGAAAACTCTCTGATAGAAGATTCATACACAAAGACAAACACACCAATTCCTGCTTCATGTACATCACACTCAGGGTTTTCTATTTTTAACCGCACGCATCAGAAAACAGCCACTCTGGCTACTTTTGAGGTAATGGTCTAGGTCCTAATTTAAATACAAAAAGGAAAACACCATTGCTGACTGGAGGGCCTGGCGTCTCCTGTGTCCTGGATGGCACCAGCCCCCCAGGCATGCGGAAAGAACCACAGTCCCCTGGAGCTATGCCACCTGCTCGGGGGCTCTGACCCATTCATGCAAAATGGCTGCACCTCCACCCTTGCTATATGGCGATGTCCTTGGAGTGCTTTACATCTTCAAAAGCCCCGTGGCACATGCGGACTCCCCAGTCTAGTAAAGCAAGAAGAGTGGAAGGGGAGCCTCAGTGGAGCCATGTCTATTCACACCCACCCATCCACTTGGCATCTCTTTCTCGGTCACAGGACTCCCAGGGTTCCACGCCTTCCTGCTGATCTGGGAGTCTCTGTGAGTTCTTCTTTCTCCTCACTTAGGATCTTACCTCTCACCACATGCTTGCTTGTGTCACCCACTCCAGCCAGACCACAATCCCCGGAGATTCCTGAAACTCTCAAGGTATCTTGGACCTCTGCTCCTCAGCAACGCCAATCAAAACACTCCTCTCTTTCTTCCTGCCCTTCTCTGGGCTGTCACATGGGTGTAAGACACCACCTCAGGGAAGCCTTCCTGGATCCTCCAGCTGGGTTAGAGGGAGGCACCTGTGGCTGGGGACCCACCCCTGCCCTGCTGCCATGGCACTCCCTGCCCTGCTGCCATTTATGCTCTGTTTATGTTTAGGCCTCTGGCAGTCCTTGGCTGTTTTCCAAGAAGCAGCCCTTACCATGGGGCGGTGCTGCTGAAGTCAGCCTGAGTCCAAGCCTTTCAGGCCGAGCCGCCAGCTCCGAAGAGCAAGCACAAGGAGGCCCTAAGGAGACATGTGGTCTCCTTTTAGGAGCTGGGCTGAGGACCCTGGCGGGGCTTCGGGGGACTGAAGGAGAAAAGGGGAGTGAGGACTTTGGATTTGCACCCATGGCATGGCCAAATACTGGACAGTAAATATGAGCCAGCAGGTTCCTGGGTCAGGGTACACCGGCCTGGCGAAAGCATCACACCCCCATCTCCTTGTGCTCAGATGGGGAAACTGAGACTCGGAGGGGGGTGCCCAGGCCACTCCGCCCTCGTCTCAGGTATTGGAATTAGGTGAGGCCTGGATGAGCCCTTAAAACTATCATTTTGGGACCAGGACAGGATGATTCTGGAAAGGAGGGGAAGAGTGAGCGGATGGGATGTGGCACTCAAGATAACTCGGGAAGAGATCTCATCTCAGCACCCAGCAGGAGACAGACGGCACGGTCAACTCGGCTATGAGGAGGGGTTTTAATGAAGAGACTCTTTACAAAGGTGTGCGTGTAGGCAAACCACGAGACAGTGCTGTCTCCTAGGCCTCAGAGCTTTGGGGCCCCAGGACCCAGGATGGAGGGTGTCAGGGGAGGGGGTCACCGGGACCCAGAGATGAGTGAACTTCCTGACGGCAGCTGCGGCCTCTGTTCACTTCTGGAGGACGTGCGGGCTGCCCTGTTCCTGCTGAGGGAGAAGCAGCTGGGCGTTTCTACCCTGACCTCCCACTGCCCTGGCCTCCTCCCTGTCCCTCTAACCTCTTCCCGGGAGTCTCCCCTGGCCAAACCCAACCCAGAGCAGAGAGCAAGGCAGCCACGTTAACGGTCCCTGCGGGTCAGGGCAGGGCAACGAGGGTGAAGGCAGGGTGTGCAGGGTACAGGGATAGCTGGGGGAATAGCACTCTGTAGTGAGGGTGGGAGGCCCAGAGCTTTGCCATTTATGTGTCCCGGGTCCCTGGCCCCACTGTGTCTGCATATAAGGGGGCTGATGTGTGGCCTTCCCGAGATTCCCGGCCCTCGATCCCACTCTGCTCTGCACGCCAGACCCCAGGAGGTCAGCACGGGGGTTCCAGGCCCTGCTACTGCCAGGGCACACCCAGCTTTTCCCTCCTGGAAGCCCTAGAATTGGGTCAGGGTCTCCTTTCCCAGTACCTTCACTGCCTCCTTCTTGCTGTGCCAGTAAAGGAAACATCTGGGACAAGACACAGGGTGGAGTCAGTCAGGGAATAGGTGTGTTTTCTCTGGGGATGCTGGGGCTTGGAGAGCTCACTCACCCACCTCCAGTTATGGCCAGGAGGAGAGCACTGCTGAGACTCACAGCCCACAGGGACATCCGCCGGTTCCTGCCTGGGGTGTGAAAGAGGGAGCCAGGTGTTTGGAGACCAGGCAGGGCTACCTCGGCTCAGAGAGAAGGCCGCCATCCTTTCATTCTTTGATTTGTTCACTTATCATTTGTTGCAAACGCTTACTGAGCACGCTGTGTGCCCAGCACATATCTAGACAAGCAAACTATCATGGTGTGGGTTTCAAGGGAAATAGGACAGGAAATGGGAGGGGAAGTGACAGTGAGGATGGTTGACAAGCCTCTGGGGTGGGAGGTGATCAGGGAGAGCTTCTTAGGAAACAGGAGTCTGAGCTGGACTTGGAAACACAAAGAAGGGATCAGTTCAAGGGCAAGGCTGTGTCCCCAGCACAGGACATGCTCAAGAACAGAAGAACGGGGCTGCCCATATGCACTTGGTGTGCCTGGGGAGGAGGGGGCCCCCGAGGAGGATGGGCTTTATCTGGGGGCATTTGGGAGCCACTGCTGGTTATAAACAGGGAGTGTCACAGGTAGAACTGCTCCTTGAGAAGGAGTTCAGAGTGCAACGTGGCCCAGAGGGACAGGGAAGCTAATGGGAAATGCTGCTGTAAGTTAGATGGGAGATGAGGAGGCCTGAGAGTGGAGGTTAGAATGAAGCTATGGGAACACATAGAAGACTTATTTAGCAAGACGTGGTGATTCTCCATGCTAAGTGGAGGCAGATTCCTGGTTTAGGGGGCTGAGGGCATGAGTGGGGCCATTTGTTGAGAAGGGCCCTGGAGGAAGAGCAGGTTTGGGGGTTCGATGGGATTGGGCATGTTTCACTTTTTCTTTTCTTTTCTTTTTTTTTTTGAAATGGAGTATTGCTCTGTTGCCCAGGCTGGAGTGCAGTGGTGTGATCTCAGCTCACTGCAACCTCCACCTTCCGGGTTCAAGCGACACTCCTGCCTCAGCTTCCTGGGTAGGGATTGGCCATGTTTCTAGGCATGGCATCTCTGAGAACCAAGAGGCCTCCCGGAGTGATGTCCTACAGGCAGATGCCTCCAAGGCTCTGGAGCTTGACATGAGGAGATCAAGAAATCTCAGGAGGTGCTGCCTTCACCCGGGGTGAGGATAGAGAACAAAAAACCTTGAGTTGGGCAAAAGAGAATGACAGAGACAGTAACGGCTCTGGGAGTGCAGGGCGGGGAAGGAAGAGGCTGGAAAGCGTGGTGGCCACTTACCTAGGCAGATAGTGGGGTCATTGCAGGAGAGGAAGTAAGTCCTGCAATCGGCACAGCTGGTGACCTTCAGTGTGGACCGTATGTCTATGGGAGGGGAGGGACAGGGGCTAGGGGGTGCCAGGTGCCTTTCAACCCTCCCCCAGGCCCAGTCCCCTTGCATACTCACCACAGGACTCATTGCAAGCTGCCAGGGGTGAGAAGGTAGAGAAACTGAGGTGTTGGGGAGGCAGACACAGCCAAGGGGGTCTGGGGTGCAAGTAGGAGATGGAGCTGGGGAAGGTGTTCATGGGCAGGAGTGGGGCTCCTGGGGATGGTCGAGGGGGCTGCAGAGTGGACTCTGCGTGCCTTCGGTCTTGGCAGGTGCGGAGGGCTGGGCCATGTGCGGGGATCGTCCCCACCCCTTACCCTTCTCCTTCAGCCCATCAGATATCTTATTCAGCCTCGCAGTAAAGAGATCCTTGTGCATGTCAATCTCTTTCAGAAGTACTGTTTTATCTAGGTAGAGCAGGAGGGAACGAATGTTCAGTGTTACAACTTGCTCAAGGTTGGGTTTTCAGACCCTTGTTTCTAAATGGAAGTTCCAAAGAGCACACAGAGACAGACTGCATTCATCTCCCACCTTCACAAGACCTCCCACCCATGGCCACATGGGCCTCTGAGAATGCCTTGGAGGGCGGGCCTTTGTCAACCCAAGCCCCAAGGCCCTGGGACTCTTGGCTTCCTCACCATCTCGTAATGTTTTAATGGTTTGGTGTACTTGAGTGAAGAATTTGGCTGTTTCTTCTTCCAAATGGTCACGATCTGAGGATGAGATACAGGTAAAAGAGAAGTCAAGGGAGTAAGATCCCAGGCCAGGTAAAGAGGCCAGATCCAATTCCCGATCTCCTGGCTGTGCCTTACCAAGGTACCAGGGTTTGAGAAAATTATTATCCTCTAGGAACAGAGAGTGAACGCTTTGAGAAAGTTCTGTGGGTGGCCCCGGGGTCCCCCAGAGAATCTGAAGGTCATAGTCTATCCAGGCAGACAGTTCCGGCCAGCAGTGGAGGCAGTTCTTCCCTTCGATGGCGGGTAGCAGACAGATGATCAGGAGAGGCAGCATCTTCTGGGGTCCTCCTACCGTGCCCCAGTGCCCTGCCTGGAAGTTCCACGTGGAACACTGGTGTTCTGTCCCCCTGGGAACCACATTCTCTTGGCAGGGCAAAGTGCATTCTGTAGGGCAAGGCAAAGCTCAGCTGTGGAGTCACAATATGAATCCAAGCTTTGGGATTGGACCTAAGTGGGAGCCTTGGTACATAGTTCCTCCTTTGAACTTGGAGTCACTTACTCAGCAGGGAAAGTCCTTGTGAGGATCAGAGGGACGGCGGCACTGCCTGGTGGTGGGTGCTCAGCTATCTTGACTGTGTTCATCTGGTGTGGAAGAGTTTAACACGACTGAAATTTGAGAGGCAGAAAAGAGCAGCACAGCAAGAGGGTTAGTTGAGTGAAGAGAATCGGAACCTCTTCACACTTTTCCACAAAGGGTCAACCAAGGAGAAGCTGATGGAAAAAAACACGTTTTCATGGCACAGATAAACTGACAGCTGTCTCATGTTTGGTCCAGCCAGAGGGGCTTAGCTCCTAATACCACAGTGCAGGCAAAGAGTATAGACAAGTTCCAGTCAGCATTGCACAGAAGTGCAGACAGAGAAGCCACGTTCAGAGCAGTGGTTCTTTTGTGAAATGCGCCCTGAAAAAAAGCAAAACTCCCTACTCTTTTGTAATAAAGAAATCCAGTGGGATCCTTGTCACTCCTCAGCTGGCAAGCTTTGCCCTTCCATGCCATGATTCTGAGTGTCTTGGGCTGGGTCATGGGCAGCTAAGACCACCAGGCATTTAAGGAATGCCTCTAACATGACCAAGAGACAAAAACCATAGCAAGAATTCAAAACAAAGGCAAACAAAAACAGCAGGAAAAAGGAGGAGTACAGAATTATGACAAGAAGTAGAATAAAACTTAGAACCTAGCCATGTGCGGTGGTTCACGCCTGTAATCCCAGCACTTTGGGAGGTTGAGGCGGGTGGATCACCTGAGTTCAGGAGTTCGAGACCAACCTGACCAACATGGAGAAACCTCGTCTCTGCTAAAAATACAAAATTAGCTGGGTGTGGTAGTGAATGCCTGTAAGCCCAGCTACTAGGGAGGCTGAGGCAGCAGAATCACTTGAACCTGGGAGGCGGAGGATATGTGAGCCTGAGCCTAGATCATGCCATTGCAACTCCAGCCTGGGCAACAAGAGTGAAACTCATGTTAAAAAAAAAAAAACCAAAAACGATAAAAAAAAGCTTAGAACCTAATTACATAGAACCTAATTACAATTAAATTGACAAAATATTGTTTTTCCCAGACAAGAAGAAGTTGCTATGTAAAAGAAAGAGTTAATGGAGACTAAAAATATGACAGCGCAAATTTAAAAATTCCATAGAAGTGTTGGGAGATCATTTCGGAAATCTTCCAGACAGAAGTACAAAAAGACAAAGATGGGAAATAAGAAATAAAAATACAATACAATTAGATAATCAATCCATGAGGTCCAACATCCAGCTAATACAAGTTCCAGAAAGAAAATGGAGAGGTGAAAATTATTTATAATAGAAGTTGTGTAGGAAGTATATTCAGGAAGAGATTCTACTGTATACAGAGAGGGGTGTGGCATTGAGGTTTGCTAGAAGAAATAGCTGAGGCTGGGTGCAGTGGCTCATGCCTGTAATCCCAGCACTTTGGGAGGCCAAGGGAGGTGGATCACTTGAGGTCAGGAGTTCAAGACAAGCCTGGCCAACATGGGGAAACCTCGTCTGTACTAAAAATACAAAAAATTAGCCAGGTGTGGTGGCGTGCACCTGTAATCCCAGCTACTTGGGAGACTGAGGCAGGAGAATCGCTTGAACCTAGGGGACGGAGGTTGCAGTGAGCTGGGATTGCACCACTGCACTCCAGCCTGGGCAATAGAGTGAGACTCTGTCTCAAAAAAAGAAAAAAAAAGAAGGAGAAATAGTTGAATTAATAAATTCAGGCTGTACTAGTCAAGTGGGCTCTGCGATGAGAGGATGATTCCAAGTACTGCAGAGATGTTGCTCTATCCCTGGCTTTGTATGGAATCACGGATGAGGAATAAGCCTGTTTTTTTCTCCTAAGTCAATATCTCTGGAAAGGCAAGGCCTGGAAGGGCCCCAAAACAAAACTTCCATATCCTCAAGATGTATCACCCTCTAGGCAATTGGTGTTTGTCACACTAGAAAGCTCATGCAAGACATGGTGTTCGGAATTTTTACTGGAGTTTCATTATGTAGGTGTGATTGACTGAATCACTGGCCATGTGATTGAACTCAATCTTCAGGCCCTGTCCCTCCCTGGAGGTTGGGCTGATATTCCCTGGCTCAAAGCCCCAACCCTCTAATCACATGGTTAGTCTTTCTCTTGTGGTCAGCTCCTATCCTGAGTCATTTTGTTAACATAAAAGGATATGGCTAGGTAGGGTCTCACAAGCCCACCATGAATAATAGACCCTCTTATCACTCAGGAAACTTCTGAGGATATAGAGGTTCCCTCTCAGGTACCAGGGACAAAGGATAGCCAGATTCGTTGCCATACAACAATAGCACATAAAGTTCTGATTACTTGTTAACATTTGGGCATGAATTCATTCAGATCTAGGCTTTGTAATGCTTCTTGGTCTCCTGGAATCTTCTGGGAGGATCTCAAGTCCCAGGCACAAGCTTTTGTTTTGCCCATGCTGAGTTGTGGAGATATTAGAATAGAGGCAATTAGAAATCCGGGGACAAGTGGAACGTGACAAGGGCATCTATCTTAGCAAATTAACTCATTTGGTTGGTAAAATCATCTTAGAGGTCATTGACCTGCAAATCCTGTCCAGTTATTATAGGGACCTTGTTTGAAAGAACATTTGATACATCCAAGAGGCTGGCACCTGGTTGGTCAATGCCTTTATAAAGGGTTGGATTTAGTTGTTTGATTTTTTTAATGGAAAAATTACAAAAAGTTCATCATCAGATAACCTATCATAAATGAAATATTCATTTCATTTTCTTTCTGGTTAAAACTTGTGTCTTGAAATGCTTTGTTGTATCTACTTAGAATGATCAATAGGGATGCCTAGGGGGAATCTCTCTTGCAGAATTTGTTGGTAGAGAACATTAAAATTGCATGAAGCCAGTCATGTAATTTTAATGACCATCAAAAGGATTTTGCCTAGCATTGGGAGGAATTGAAAGTGAGATGATGCTTCTGGGAAAGGTTGAAACCTTGGGTGTTCAAGGAGACAAGTTTCTGGATCTATAGGGCACTCCCCCGTCTACCTCTGCTACTGGGCAGAGACATTCTCTCCCTGGTTAGTGGCTGTGGAGAATCTGCAAAACACAGGGTGCCTGGCTATCTCCTTCTGGTCCTAGAGAGTCATCAGGGCTTGTGCTGGCGGTGGCCTTGCCCAGGACTCAGTGTAGCCCATCCATTGCTCTAGGGAGAAGTGACTGAGGCCCTGAGGGGAACAGATGAGGGTTCACATTCATGCTTTGTGCCCTCCAGACCAGTGCCCGCCACCCCACTCCTACTCTCCTTTCTCTTGAATTCTTTCCATTTTCCTGACATTGAGTTCAGCTCTGCATCCATGAAGCCTGCTCAGGTCTCTCCACCCACAGAGATTTCTGCGTCCTCTCATCTTTGTCAGGGGCCATGTTTGTGTCTTTCATTAGGCAATTGGCGACATGCCAGCTTGTGACAGGTTTTCTGTTGATTCAAACTGTCATTAAAATCTGCTGTAACCTATACTTTCTCAGGCCTCACCAGCCTGCTTCTAAAAACAGGTTACAGTCACAATAGCATTTCCTTGGGCCATCTCCTTTTTGCAAGGTCTGCTCTCCTGGCTCCCCCGGCTGTCAGAGTCTGGGTGGCCCTCAGGGGCTGTCCGTCTGATGCCATGATGCAGCTCATGTGGCTGGCCTGGGATGCCTGCTCCTCTCTCTGTGGCGCTGGACTCACCTGCCACTCCCCACGCACCATGTTCCCAGCTTCTCCCCTGTTCCAGTGAAAGGGGTTCTTGCTTCTTGAAGGAGCCCACGGCTCACTTGATGGCCTTGATGAGGCCCCGGGTCCTGACCACAGCCCTGGAGAAAAGGAAAAATGGCTCCTCTCGTTTAGCCACAGGCCCACTGCAGAACCTCTGTGTCCCAAGCTCTGAGTGGGCCCGAGGCCGCTGGCTATCTTCTCATGGAGGTGAGTGGCAGTCCTGGAAGCATGCCTGCTCATCGCCCTCTTGGCTTCTGACCATAGCTTCGTTCTCACAAAGCTCCTCGTCCGTAAAGATGAGCCTCCCCAGGAGTCTTGCAGACAGGTCTGAACTCTAAGGTAACTGAGACAGGTGTGGACAAGGACTGCATTTATGCCGGTCAAAGGTGATTTTGATGGGACCAGCTCTGGTTCCCAAATGAGGTATTTGTCTTCTCTGGAGAAGTAGGAGCAGAGATAGAGGCCCCCTGCCCAGGCACGGGATGTCTTTACACTACCTCCTTGGGTTTTTGGGTTGTGTTTGGGACCATGAATACATCTGAGGACGAGAGCACTATATCTCCTCTCTGAAGAGGTGGTCGTCAAAGCTCTCATGATAAACACCTGAGGTCAGGAGCACATGGCCACTGCCAGGAAGGTGGAGCATCTTTGAAGGACAAAAAGGGCTTCCTGCCCAGCCCTGCTGACATCCTTCTCTATGGCAATGTGTTCTCCTTGTTTGGGAAGAATGAGGCTCTGGTCTTCCCACATACATCTCTCAGGGCTGGTGGCACTGCAGAGGGTCTAGAGACCCCTCCTCCGATTGGGTGACTGCCCCTCTCTCAAGGCAGGCAGGGTGCTGTGTAGTGCTCCCCGGGTGGGGAAGAATACTGCAGACATTAGGAACATTGTTGTAGGAATGGAAGGGTCCTGTCCCTGAAACTTACTAATTACACCTGTTTCCTTTCAGGTTGTGGCAGATGGTACGTTTCCAAAGAAGATGGAGCCTCATGTCCCACCCACAGACGCTTCTGCAGCGGGAACTGGCCACTCCTCCAACAAGAGGTAGAGTCCAGTTCTCCTC